AAAAACTGAAGGAACAAAACAGCAGCAGAATCACAGAACCCAAGAATGGACTAACAGTTACCAAAGGGAAAGGGACTGGGGAGGGTGGGTGGGAAGAGAGGGAGAAGAGAGGGGGCCTTACGATTAGCATGTATAATGTGGGGGGAGGCACAGGGAGGGCTGTACAACACAGAGAAGACAAGTAGTGATTTTACAGCATCTTACTATGCTGATGGACAGTGACTGCAATGGGGTATGTGGGGGGAACTTGGTGAAGGGGGGAGTCTAGTAAACATAATGTTGCTCATGTAATTGTAGATTAATGATACCAAAAAAAAAAAGAAAGAAAGAAAACAGCTGGGGAGAGCAAAAGTGGCCCACTCACAGGTTGCTGGCAGTTTTCTTCTCTAGCACCTGAACAGCATAGTAAGAGGGTTGCCATCACCCTAAGCTGGTTTGACTTCCTTGTCAGGAATTTTCAGAATCAACTTGCTGAGGGCCAAGCCTTCCCCAGGGCCTCTCAGACACCTGGTCCGTCTGGGTCTCAGGTCTAGCAGCATCTCTGCGCAGGGTGCGCTCCATCAGCAGGAGGGGAAGAACAGGCTGTGACCTAAGGCAGAGCTCTTCTCTTCTGTATCGCTTCTCTCATCTGTGAAAGTGTCCTTGCTTTGCAGTGATTACTGGATGAGGTAAGGGTCCTTCACTTCCCCACCTGACTGTCATTTCCTAAAGGAAAGAATCATGTAATATTTTTCTATCACAACGTTAGCATCTAGCTATGTTGTTCTTTCTTAAATTATTTAACACTTACTCTGTATCAGACACTCTTGAAAACTTTGCAAATTGTAATTCATTGAGTCATCATGACAACCCTGTGACATGGGTAATATTGTTATTCCTATTTTATAGAAGAAGGAACACAGGCACAGGGAGCTTCTGGAGCTTGCGTAGTCGGACAGATCAGTGGGGGAGCTAGGATTTCACCTCCGCAGGCAGGCTGGACCCAGAGCACTGCTCCACACACTAGGCTTACTATGATGCCTCATCTTTCCAGGGTTATGTGGAATGATGGAGGAAAGAAGACATTTGGAATCTAAGTTAGAAGAAAATTGGGAAGGGAGAAATATTTATACAAAAGAAATCCAAATGATAGTGTATTTCCACATACTTCATGCATAGTTAGTATAGTACAAATGGTGATACTGTAGAGATAAAAATCTAGGCTGATTTGAATACCTAACTTAAAAAGATTTTGCTCCTTGGCTTAAAAAAAAACTATCAAATTGTAAATCATTTGAAGTACTCAAAAACATGACCCTGACTTTCAGATAAGTGAATAATTACCATATTCACTTAGTAGGAAATTACATAAACTCACATCTGCTTAAAAAGTTTAAAATTCAGCTGCTCTGGTAGGCAGCTGTAATAGTTTGCTAGGGCTGCCTTAACAAACTTTTGCAAACTGGCTGTTTTAAACAATAGAAATGTATCTTCTCACAGTCTGGAGGCCAGATGCCCAAGATCGAGGTGTCAGTGGGACTGCTTCCTTCCGAGGGCTGCTGTGAAGGAAGGCTCTATTGCAAGCCTCTCTGCGTGGCTTGTAGATCGCCAGCTTCTCTCTGCATCTAAACGTCATCTCCTCTGTGTATGTCTGTCCCTGTGTCCAAACATCCCCTTTTTATAAGAACACCAGTCCTATTGGATTAGAGCCCATCCTAATCACCTCATTTTAACTTGATTGCCTGTCTCCAACTAAAGTCACATTCTGAGGTCCAGAGGATTAGGACTCCAGTTTTGAGGGGAGGCCACTGTTCAGCACATCTCAGCAATATAATATAGGGGTAAGAGTCCAGGCCTGAATGCTAGAGCTGACGTTTGTTAATTATGAGTTCTCACTGTAGATCATTTCTTTCCCTGAATGAGGACAAAACATAGTATTTGCCTCATGCTGTTGAGGATTAAATGCTTTAGCACAACTAGCACTAGACTACTGGGTAAGCGCAATGTGTATTAGATAGTCCTTCATTGATCAAATAGCCACTGAGTACCTATTAAGTGCTGGGTGCTGTTCTAGGTGTTTGAGATACAGAAATAAACAAAATAGGCAAAAATACCTACCTTTGTGGAGTTCATACTGTAGTGGGGAAAGAAAAACAATCTAAAAAGTAGAACATATAGAATGCCAGACTTAACAGGTGTTATGAAGAAAAATAAAGCAAGATAAGGGCTAGAGAGCATTAGAGGTTGCAACCTGGGATCAGAGGGGGCCTCACAGAAGCGTCCTTTGAGCCAAGACCTGGAGAACAGGAGGAGACAGTTAAGGGGTTCCCTGGAGAGTTTTGAGTAGAGGTGGTGTTCCCAAACCATTGCTGTGGACTTCTGGGGCTGGCTAATCTCCTTGTCAGGCTGTGCTGGGCACCTTCCCTGGCCACTGCCCCTGGAAGGCAGGAGAGGGTAGCATTTACTACCCCAGTTGTGAACACGTGTCTGACAACCAAGGAGGTCTCCGCATATGCCACACGTCCTGTGCGGGTCAAAACCGCTCCTGGCCGACAACCACTGAGAGACATGAAAAGCGAAAGCCCCAAGGGCGGGAATGGGCTCCACCGGGTTGGGGCCCCGCGGGAGCGGGAGGAGAAGATGGAATCAGAAGGGCGCGGGGTGAACCACATCACCTGTGACCCGAGGCCGCTCCTCGGGCAGACGGGAAGCTACTGGAAGGTTAAGAGCAGAAAGACAACACAGCTTGACAACACAATTCGACCCACATTTTAAGAAGACCCAATTGGCTGCCGCACTGAGAATTGCCGGTAGGTGGAAAACCAGAAATGCCCAGCTCAGTGGGGAGGCTGTCAACAATAATCTCATTAGTTTTTTAGTTGTTTTAATTTGTTCACTGATTGGCTGCATGGCGGTGGGAGTGCCGAGAGAAGGTGAGTTTAAGAAGCTCTCCCGGAAGAAAAGAGGAATAATTAGCATAAAAGGCAAAAGGCAAGAGCGGTAAGATTTTCTTAAGTGGAAGGCAGTACGTAGTTAAGTCAGTTTGAAAGGGCAGAAAGTTGGGTAGGACACAGAGAATGCTGGGGCCCGGCTGTGCGCAGGCCCCCAGAGGCTGGACGAAGGCACCGGAGCCCGGACCTGTCAGCGAAGGGGAGGATTTGCAGCTTAAGCCACGAGGAGCGCTGCAGCCAGATGTACAACACAGGCGTCATCAAGAAGAGTTTCAAAAGGAGCTTCCTGAAATAATATGTGCGAGATAACAAGAGCCTAAGATGGGGTGGAGGACGAGCAGGCGCGAGGCCTTGTGTGGGAAGCAAAGCGAGGTCCTGCCCTCAGGCCGGGAATGGCCTTCCTCAGGGTGATCTTGGTTGTAAGCACGTGCAGGCTGCTGTCTCTGCTGCCGGGGTTCGGAAACGTTTCCACCGTATCAGACATCAAGCGAGTGCAAGCCTACCACGAAAAGGTTTAAGTAGCGCAGTATTTTTCTGGAAAAGGTGTCCCCGGAGCAGGGCGTGTTAAATATCCTCAAGGGACTTTTCAAACAGGCTATTTTACCTGCAGGTGAGAAGAACTGCCCCGAGTTGTGGCAGCGAGGGGAAGAGCGGGGCTGCAACAAAGAGCACCCTGAGGGCGGCCGCATGTCCCCCCGGAGACCCAGCGCCTTCGCTGGTTGGGCGCAGCAGTGCAGGCACAGCAGCCCGGCCGCCAGCCTGCGGGTGGAGCAACCAGGCGCCGGCCCACACGCTTTCGGCCCTCGGCCGACCAATGACAGGGGCTCACGGGAGCCGTCGCCTCCTTTCACTCTCCGCGGAGAAGCCTGCTCAGACGCGGGGGCGGTCGACCGGCGAAGCCGCGGCAGCCGGGCCACCTCGCCGGGGCGGGGCGGGGGGAGGCGCGGCCGCGGAGCGCGGGGCGGGGCGGGGGGCCGCGCCCAACGGACGCGTGGACGCGTCGGCCCCGCCCGCTGCCGCCTGCGCCCCAGTCACCCAGCTCTGCGGCCACCAGGCAGTAGGAGCAACCGCGGGCGGCGGCGCGACGGTCCCCACCATGTCTGCGAACATGAGGCAGAGGTTCGACCGGTTTCTGCACGAGAAGAACCGCATGACCGACCTCTTGGCCAAGCTGGAGGCCAGGACCGGCGTGAACCGGAGCTACATCGCGCTCGGTGGGTGCGGGGCTGCCGTGGCGTGCCCGGCCCCGGGAGCAGCCGCTGCACCAGCAGTGGGACAGCCGAGGGAAGAGGGCTCGGGGGGGGCCGTGGCGCTGACAGACGGGGGGGACCGGCATCCTCGGGGACCGAGCTGGCCGCCCGGAAAGGTCAGAGGCCGCGGCGCCGGGGCTGGGGGCGCTGGGCTGTGCCCGCGGCCAGGTGGCAGAGCGCCCGGGCGGCGGGGAGCGGGGAAAGGCCGGCGCTGACGTGTCTGTCCCCGCGGCCAAGCGCCGTGTCCTAGCGGCCTTGGGCAGGGCTGGCGCGGAGTGGCGGGGCCTCCTGCGGGAGTGCGCGCGGGTACGGTGACAGCGTCCCCGATTCTGGCCAGACCCTCGGTGGAGATGAAAGAAAGTTGGGTAGGACACAGAGAATGCTGGGGCCCGGCTGTGCGCAGGCCCCCAGAGGCTGGACGAAGGCACCGGAGCCCGGACCTGTCAGCGAAGGGGAGGATTTGCAGCTTAAGCCACGAGGAGCGCTGCAGCCAGATGTACAACACAGGCGTCATCAAGAAGAGTTTCAAAAGGAGCTTCCTGAAATAATATGTGCGAGATAACAAGAGCCTAAGATGGGGTGGAGGACGAGCAGGCGCGAGGCCTTGTGTGGGAAGCAAAGCGAGGTCCTGCCCTCAGGCCGGGAATGGCCTTCCTCAGGGTGATCTTGGTTGTAAGCACGTGCAGGCTGCTGTCTCTGCTGCCGGGGTTCGGAAACGTTTCCACCGTATCAGACATCAAGCGAGTGCAAGCCTACCACGAAAAGGTTTAAGTAGCGCAGTATTTTTCTGGAAAAGGTGTCCCCGGAGCAGGGCGTGTTAAATATCCTCAAGGGACTTTTCAAACAGGCTATTTTACCTGCAGGTGAGAAGAACTGCCCCGAGTTGTGGCAGCGAGGGGAAGAGCGGGGCTGCAACAAAGAGCACCCTGAGGGCGGCCGCATGTCCCCCCGGAGACCCAGCGCCTTCGCTGGTTGGGCGCAGCAGTGCAGGCACAGCAGCCCGGCCGCCAGCCTGCGGGTGGAGCAACCAGGCGCCGGCCCACACGCTTTCGGCCCTCGGCCGACCAATGACAGGGGCTCACGGGAGCCGTCGCCTCCTTTCACTCTCCGCGGAGAAGCCTGCTCAGACGCGGGGGCGGTCGACCGGCGAAGCCGCGGCAGCCGGGCCACCTCGCCGGGGCGGGGCGGGGGGAGGCGCGGCCGCGGAGCGCGGGGCGGGGCGGGGGGCCGCGCCCAACGGACGCGTGGACGCGTCGGCCCCGCCCGCTGCCGCCTGCGCCCCAGTCACCCAGCTCTGCGGCCACCAGGCAGTAGGAGCAACCGCGGGCGGCGGCGCGACGGTCCCCACCATGTCTGCGAACATGAGGCAGAGGTTCGACCGGTTTCTGCACGAGAAGAACCGCATGACCGACCTCTTGGCCAAGCTGGAGGCCAGGACCGGCGTGAACCGGAGCTACATCGCGCTCGGTGGGTGCGGGGCTGCCGTGGCGTGCCCGGCCCCGGGAGCAGCCGCTGCACCAGCAGTGGGACAGCCGAGGGAAGAGGGCTCGGGGGGGGCCGTGGCGCTGACAGACGGGGGGGACCGGCATCCTCGGGGACCGAGCTGGCCGCCCGGAAAGGTCAGAGGCCGCGGCGCCGGGGCTGGGGGCGCTGGGCTGTGCCCGCGGCCAGGTGGCAGAGCGCCCGGGCGGCGGGGAGCGGGGAAAGGCCGGCGCTGACGTGTCTGTCCCCGCGGCCAAGCGCCGTGTCCTAGCGGCCTTGGGCAGGGCTGGCGCGGAGTGGCGGGGCCTCCTGCGGGAGTGCGCGCGGGTACGGTGACAGCGTCCCCGATTCTGGCCAGACCCTCGGTGGAGATGAGCCCGGAGAAGCAGGGGGGCCTCGGGAGGTGAGGGGCCTTTGGTCCGGCGCAGGAGGCCGGGTTCCGGCGCACCGTCGGTGGAACGGGGTTCCCGGGGCCGGTGCGCGGCACGGTGGGGGCCCCTGGGGGAGAGAAGGCGTCGGGGAGGGCGGGGGGGGACCCCCCAAAGGTGGCGGCCCTAGGGTTTCCCCAGACGCAAGGCCAAATCCCGCGAAGGCGCAGGCCCAACCTTTGTGGGGTTTGTTTTTGTCCATCGCCTGTGACAGGCCAAGCCTTGCGGTGTGGGCAGGGGCAGCGCGGCTTGAGCCCCTTGCTTGCCACCAGACCCACTTCTCTCCTCGTGTCTCCAGGTGTCATCGGGCTGTTGGCTTTGTACCTGGTGTTCGGTCACGGAGCTTCTCTCCTGTGCAATCTGATAGGATTTGGCTACCCGGCCTACATCTCGTAAGTGACTTCCCCTGTAACCATTCTTCCTTCCCTTCACCCTCCTTCCTGCCAGGGCTGCCCGACTTACTATAAATCCCCGCTTCCCTAGGAGAGGGGTCAGAGTACGAGAGGGTAGTAGCTGACTGCTTACGGTTACACATTTCAGAGCCTTAATGTGATACCTGATCTCCTGATGACTAACGGAAATCTGTATTTTATCAGATTATACTGGTGGAGTGTGTACTTTCTAGTTGATGTACAAATGGGAAGTGTTACAACACAGTCATCCTGCCTTTACTGGTGGAGAGATCACATTGGGTATAGAGAACAGATTCCTTCTCCTTAATAATTATTTTAATGTTTATTTCACCGTATATTTATGTACATAAACAGTAAAACCCCATCAACTAGGACTTTCTTAATTCAGAATTAATGTTAATTCAGACCTGGGGAAAGTTTTGCTTCTTGATTTAAAAAAGGCTGGCCACTAAAGTAATATGTAGATTCCTCAAAAAATTAAAAATAGAAATACCATAGGACCCAGTAATTCCACTTCTGGGAATTTACCTGAAGAAAACAAAATCCTTGATTCAAAAAGATATATGCACCCCTATGTTTATCATCACATTATTTACAATAGCCAAGTTATGGAAACCACCCAAATGTCCATTAATAGATGAATGGATAAAGATGGGGTACATCTACACAATGGAATATTATTCAGCCTCAAAAAAGAATGAAATCCTGCCATTGGCAACAATATGGATGGACCTAGAGGGTATTATACGAAGTGAAATAAGCCAGGTGGAGACAAATACCGTATGATTTCACTTATTTGTGGAATATAAAAACAAATGAACAAAATAGCAGTAACTCATAAACACTGAGAAGTGACTGGTGGTTATGATGGGGAACGGGTTGTGGTGAATGGATGGGGAGAGTGAGGGAGATAAAGGGGCACAAAAATTCTCAATCATAATGTAAGTTGGTCACAGGGACGACTACAGCATGGAGAATATAGCCAATTGTTCCATAACATCTTTCTGTGTTGACAGATAGTAACTGCAATGGAGGGTGTAAGGATTTAATAATATGGGTAACTGTTGAACCACTGTGTTGTTTATTTGAAACCAATATAAGATTGTATGTCTACCATACTTCAATTAAAAAGAAAGGCTGGCCAGTGATTACATGTAATGGGAAACACAGTAGTATGGAAACAAACCTTATAAAATGCATTCCTAATATAGCTCCTTGTGTATATACATGATTCATTTACATAACTACACTAAGTTAAAAATAAATCTTACAGGATTAGGATCTAAATTTATCACTAGTTGAGGTTGCTTTTACTTTACAGTATGTTTATTTTGAAAATACTCTACAATTTCATTTTTCCATTCATTTAAATAGGAATTATTCCTCCGCACAAATGAATTTGTCTTACTTTACAGCTGTTCCCAGGAAGCTGGTAGGTTTTACTTTCATTGACTTGGTCTCTGCAACTTTCCTCAACCATTAGGATAAAAATAAAGGAAGAAAAAATTCTCAGCTTGGAGGGTAAAACACAGATAACACATTATTACACCTTGTGTCTGTCATAGGTGATGCCAGACTTCAAGATATGAAGAAACGTGTTTTAGAAGAATTTCAGTTTTCCATAAAATGTAATCTGATAATATGGTTAGATACGGGAAGTTTGTAAGGAACACCGAAGCAGAATGGATTGCTCATCACTATGTCTATAATAACAGACAAAATAGCGTCGTAGGACACTACTTGTCTTCTGCTTCTGTATTCTACTTGCAAAAGTTCTTTTAATATGAAAGATTTGGAAGCATCTTTCAGTTTTGTGTTTTAGATGTTATTGATCGCATTTAGAACAAATCTTTGATGACAGTTAATTAACCGCCTAGCTACTTTAACTATTTTGGACTATGGGTTAAAAAAAATACTGAATAGCATAAAAAATACTCTCCACATCACTGCCATTTGGTGTATAATCTTGTGAGAAACATAACCTTCCCTGTAGGGGGACTAGATCATTGGTATGGACTTTAGAGAAGTAAAGTCTGTTTCTGGGTGGGATGTGTAGATCCAGGTATATGTGGATGTGACTGAAGAGGTGGATAGAACTCAAATATGCTTCTCCTTGACCTGAAGTGAATTAATTCTAGCAGGAGCCATTTTTTTAGTCGTATCTTAAAGTAAATTTAAGCAAGACAATTTTGTTTTTTTATCGTTTGTAATCATTCTTTCATTCATTTTCTGCAATGGTCAATTGTATATTATTGGCTCTTAATTCAAAGAAGCTAAATGTTCCTGTCTAATGTATTCTGTGAAATGGTAGAGGTGGTCATATTTCTTGAGTAGTTTAGGTAAGTGGGTTTTACATATTTCAGAATTAACCTATTTGCCAAGTGTATACACTTTATTTTCTATTTGAATATTCTGAGGCAAAGTGACGAATATATCCTAATAGAAGTTGAAAAAATATTAAAAATATAATAAAGGGAACTCAAAGATTTAAACAAAAATGCATGACATAATTGAGTATTTCTAGATTAGTATTTATTCATAGGATAGATTCCTTTTGGTAGACCCAACTGTTTTACCTTTACGATAAATACAAGATTCTGTGACCATAAGGGAATTAAGGGAAGGCTGCTCTCTGGGCACTGGGTACTTGGATTTTCCCTTAGAATTGTGGTTCTCAGCCTTGACTGCCCATTGGCATTATCTAAAGAGCCTTAAAAAGTACTAATGCCTGGACCCCATCCCCAGAGATTCTGCTGTAACTGGTCTGGGGTGCAGGCTGGTTTTTGGGATATTTAAAGGTTCCTTGATCTTTTACAATTTTTAAAGGATGCTGAAAACCCCTGGTGTACAGTGGCAACAGTAACCTGTGCTTTTTCCACTTGAAGATGGGGTAAAGGGGAGGGAGGGAGAAATGGCCTGCTGACCCTGGGAATAGCTCAGAGTGCTGCCTGGCCTCTCCTTTGTGAAGGAGGTTCAGAGAGATGCAGGATTGTGTGCACAGTATAAAGCATACAGACCCCCATTCAGGCAGTCGATGTTATATTAGTCTAATCAAGTCTGTTCATTGCCTAACCAGTGTGACTGTGTCACTCAGAAAGTCCTTGAAAATGGTGGTATTTGTAGCACCAAAATCAGTGTTACTTGAAATGGGATCTGTGATCACCTTCACTTTAATTGTAATTCTCCCTGTGCTCCCCAGCCAGTTATTTTTAAAGACAGGTTCATCTATTTAACAAAAGTCCAATGTCAGCCATCTGCCTGTCAGTGTGGTGGCACTTCAGAAACACCAGGGACTGAGGTAGACATGCTCCAGTCTCTTTGAATGAGCAGAATACCAGGGTTCACCACAGTAAATAGGAAAGTAGGGGCAGTGTAGTAAACCTTCCAAAGAGAATCAGCCGGGAGCGGTGGTACAGAATCACAGGAAGAACCCCTCTGGGTATTTATCTAAGGTACTGTTTGAATTAAGATGGAGGAATGAGAAAGGGCCAGGCCAGAGCAGAGCCAGGCAGAGGGGGTAACCCCAGGGTTGCTGGCACTGAGGTTGGTGGAAGAGAAGTTGGGGCGTTGGGAGCTCTGGGAGGGAGGCAGGTGCCACGCAGGGCCAGGGAGTGAGTGTACATTGGGTTCCAGGGAGGTGTAGGGAATTTGCATGTTTTCTGATTGCCTTGGATGGGCTTTAAATATGGGGCGTCATGATAACATTTACGTTTTAAGGCCCTTCTGGCTGCTGTGACATCTGGCAGGACCCGCGTCCTGTCACTCTTGCCCAGCTCCTCCTTTCTGGCCTTTCAGCTTTTCTCCTGCTGTTTCCTCTTCTTGGGCTACCCCAGGGAGGGGCGCACAGACCATGTGCAGGGGTCCATATTGGTGAGAGGCCGCAGGGTGCAGAAATGAAATTTGGAAAAGCTTGTGTGGTTTCCTAGCTTTCTTCGTGACTCACACATTGACCAGTATGTGTGTGTTGGGGGGAGGGGGGCAGGTCAGGTGTCAGTGTGGGAGCACAGACAGCTGAAGGGCAACCAGTG